AAGAGGGGCGAGGGGTAAGGTTTGGGTTCGTGTGTGTGTGTGTGTGTGTGTGTGTGTGTGTGTGTATTGGTCTGTGACTGAGAATTTGGTGTAAAGGTTTGTGTGCAAAACATTTCTTTAGCCATTTGTTTTGAATTCCATATTTTGTAATATTTGGGTTTTGTTTTGGTTGTGTGTAGTACATAAGATCTGGAATTTTTCTTGGCAACTTTAAATGTATTTTACCGAAACTTCTGTGTTATTTTAATACCCTTAATTGTGTCTTTTTCCAGCTGTTGATAATCATCTTTAAAGATGAAAATTGAGGGCAAAACTATTATTATGCTCTTTGTTTCCACTGAGTTAAATGGGCAACTCGCATATCCAAAACCAGCATTTCATCCTAACGATTTCCAATTTGTTTTAGAGTAGAACCCTAGTAACAGAAGTGGTTCTTTTTTCTTTTTTTGCCTGTTGTTAAAATGAGTTGTGTATCCCCATAACTTTCTTATAAATATTGTCTATCAAATATGAACTAAAATGAGAGACCAAGATTTGAAAAAGTGACTAGAGATCTGGGGGTCCTCAATTTTGGGCTGCCCATCTTGAATCACCTTGAGAAGGGCCCTGTTTTTTTCAGAGTGCTGAGTACCCACCCTCTGAAAACCAAGCCCTTTTAAGACACCTCCATAAGTTGGGAATTCATAAATTCGTGGCATCTAAAATCACTAGGTCATTTGAAAATCAAAACATTTAGTAAAAAGAAACTTGATATAATCCATTGCAAGTGCAGAATTTTTAGCATTTTTACTCTAGATTATTAAAAATAGCTATAGATACATCAGAGCATAAATAATGTAAAGCTTTGAACTGCTGCAAAATATTTAGTGAGACAATGTCATTTTTATTTATTGTTATTTCAGCGTGGGATGGGGGCAGTTTAGAAACTTGATAGAGGTGCCTTACAAACAGGGCCGGCTCCAGGCACCAGCTTCTCAAGCAGGTGCTTGGGGCAGCCGCTCCGGAGAGGGGCGGCGGGTCCAGGAATTCGGCGGACGGTCCCTCACTCCACCTGGGAGTGAAGGACCTCCCGCCGAATTGCCGCCGCAAATCGTGATTGCGGGTTTTTTTGGGGGGGGGGGGGCATTTTGGCTGCTTGGGGCGGCCAAAACCCTGGAGCCGGCCCTGCTTACAAAGGATTTTTTTTAATGGGCTTTACTCCTTTTTTGTTGCTTTATGACATATAAAGAATAGGGCCTGAAAGATTGTCAGGTTTCGGGGGGGAGGAGGGGTGTTAAGGTATTAGTTTTTTTCTGCTTGATTTTAATATAAATATCAGAGATAACAACTCAGGTCTTCCCTGGCTGGGATGGGAAAACCTATTATATGTCTCAGAGTATATGTTTGATTTTTCTCACACCCTAATTAAAAGGGTGGGATTGCCGTATCTTTGGTAAAGACATCATTGCTCCAAAATGTTAATGCTTTCCTTGCATTAAATAGGAATTAACAAAGAAAGACAACAAACAAAGAGATTGAAATAGTCTGACTAAAATCTCTTCCCATCTTAGTTGCGCAGCTTCTATTCCTTTGACTTTTGTGATGGCCACCTTTTCACTAGTTCTCCAGTTGTCATGGTGTCTTCCAGGGCAGACAAGACTTGAGTTTCCAACATAGAAAATGCATATTAAAAAAAAAATTCAGGCCTATCTCATAAATCATAACAAAGTAGGAAAAGGCACAAGCTCCCCCTCCCCTTTTTCCCCCCTTTGCTGGTCACTTTTAAAAACAAACACATACAGAATAAACCAATGCTGTGTTGTTTTTAATGTCTTAATGTTAATTTAAGTTTCCATCTATTTCAACTTTTCTGTAGGTCATGGCCTATGGGTGTGGCAATATGGTGAGAAGAAACCAGCTTTCAGTGTTCCCGGGCTTGATGGCAACTATCTATCCCCAGTTCTAGCTGCAGTATATTTATTTTTGACAATGATAATAGTTTTTCAGGTAACAACATTGTCCATATTGGTTCCTGTGTTCACAGTTTACTGATGCTAATAATTATATATAGAGAAAGAGAGCCCAACTTCTCCCACCAAGGAACTTGAGGTGCTAATTAAGTGTTTAAAATACAATACAATTAGATACAATACAATTAAAGCATGAAAATGAAGAATAAAATATTATGTTGCCAGAAAAATAAAAGAGCCTCATTAATGTGCTAATGGTGACCAAAATGAAAACAGCTCTGAAAAAAATCAATGGACAGATGCTCCAAATTGTCTTCCCTCCATTGACTTTAGTGGAGCTGTGACAATTCACACCTGCTGAGGTTCTGTCCCAAACATTCTAGGTGTGTTGTTTTTTTAACAAGCAAGATGGGCTAAGATGAGGAGGGTGCCTGTTGGGGAGCAGCAAACTTCACACTCTGTGGGATACCAGGCTGCAAAAGCTGAGTTACCCACCTACCTTGGAGGAATACCTAGAACCTTGGTGGGTTTGGATTGCAGGTACCTTACCAGGACAAGGTTCATGCTGGGATTTAACTCTTTAATGGCCCCAAACTGTTTAGAATTTATACAGGAGGTAAATGACTAGAGTTGTCATCATTCAGCGTCTATACATAGGAGGAGAATATTGGGCGGATGCAGGGGGGAGAAAGTCTTCTGATGATGAGATCTACCATAATGTTGAATACTGTGGTGTGTCAAGAGAAGTGTGGATGTCTGTCTTTGGGACATGTAAAACTAGAACTGACAGAACATTAGAAGATAGCATACTAATGAAGGGAACGATCTTGCAGTGAAGAGGGATGGATTAAATAATGGCCTTTGCCATTTCTAGATTATGATTTTAATGTATTAAGAGGTTTTTTTCTATTAAAGAAAACTCAGAACAGATCTACTTAAGTATGCACCCTTTACTATAGGTTTTGTTTATGTACTGCGATTCACCCCACTAGTCTAATTGACCAAGCTACATTTTGTATATAACCAGAAATTTCTGCACTGAAAAAACATGTGCAAGGAACAGTAAACTAGAAATGATGTCTTTCATGGATTTTTGAAAATCCCCAAGAAACTGCTGATTTTTTTTTTTCAGGAAAACTCTCTTAGCTTAACACTTTGTTCAGCAATTACAAAATATGTTCTTCATTCAGCTGAACTGCTGCTCAAAAATTGCAACTGACAACATTGCTTTTTCTGCAGAACCTTCCACCAATCATTCATTTTACTTCTCCTGTTCCTGGAAAGCTAATTTAGTAGAGCCTGTTATTTACACAGATAAAATTTGGGAGCTATTCATCCCTTTTTTAATGCAAGATATTCTTTTGTATTTGCAGGATTCTGACTGTACTGTATGTTCCTCTCCCCCTCCCTTCTTTTCCTTTCCTAGCTTCTTTCAAGCTCATCTTATTACCCCGAAAACGTTTGCTTCTCTCCAAGCCTTGATAATCACATTTCCAGACATAATTATGGATTTCAGCTCTACAATTGCACCATAGGCTTTTCTAATCTGTCCAAGTAAACTCCTTGCAAAAATTCTAATTACTTTACAATATTGAATCTAAGCCTATTAAATTATTTAAGGTAAAGTATAGTACATACACTCTTTGTGATTTTAGTCTGCCATAAAGTTGATTAGATTATATCAATTCAATATAATATCAATGCCCCCTCTTTTCTCCTAATTAGTGTGTTTTCCATGTGTTTTAGGTTCTGATTCCGATTTCTTTGTATGTATCCATTGAAGTAGTTAAAGCATGCCAAGTGTTCTTCATTCATCAAGACAAGGATTTATATGATGAAGAGACAGACTCTCAGCTACAATGTAGAGCTTTAAACATCACAGAAGACTTAGGGCAGATGCAATATATATTCTCAGACAAGACTGGTACTCTTACTGAAAATAAGATGGTTTTCCGAAGATGCACTGTTTCTGGAATAGAGTATTCCCACGATGCTAATGGTGAGCCTCTTGTTTGCTGTCCAAGGGTTTTACTTCAGTTTGATTTCAATCACACAAAAAAGTGACTATGTTTTTAAAACAAAAAACAAATTGTGTAGGATTTATGATATGTGCATCAGACACCACAATGATGGTTGTAAAAATAGCTATAACTTGATGTCTGTTCATTTCGGAATTATAATCTTATCAGGAATTCTTTGGGATCTTGAGTGTGTTGTCAAGGTTGCTATTCTCTGTAGGTTTACGCTCTGATCCTGCAAAGCATTTAGAAACATGCTTAACTTTAAACACAGGAATAGTAGCATTGATATCAATGGGACTACATTGCTACATCTGTCCCTTAATGTGTAACTTCACTCCAAGATACTCAATCAGTGTCAAGAATGAAAGGTGAACAAGGTTACTAGTGTGGCTTTCATGTTAACACAAGAGCACAGTCTGTTGTAATAATATTTCATCTGTTTTAGCTTTATCCTGTTCACTTCAGTGCCCCAGTGTGATGGGTATCTCTGAGTTAACATTCTTTTGCTGCCAAACAAATATTGTAACTGAACAGAACATCCTCAAGTAGCTGACTTTTGAAGCATTAAAATGTAATTCATTACCCCAAGGGAATGAGGTTCCCTTTAGTTGTCACCCATGTGTCATCTCATCAACCTCTTAAAATTATTAAGTGACTTCCGATTTTGTGATTTTGTGTAATTTGTATTAAGCTATTTTCCCCCTAACGTTTTAGCTGTTTCCTTTGGGACTTCAAAGATGTTACATTCTCAAATTTCTTTGCATACTCGATAGATATTGTACTGGCTTTCTAAATGCAGTAATTAAGCTTTTTAACCTGCAGTACATTATTCTTTCCTTGACGTTCATTTGGAGAGTTCAGCTAACACATCAGAAATGGAATAAGAGAGACTTATTAAAGGTGAACTGTAAACCTAAAAAAGATGTTTAAAATTGTATGAGATCCCAAGTTAGTAACAGAATATTGTGGAGGCTTAAATTACAGAGTGAATTTACTTTTAAAATAAAATATTTTAAAATAGCAATCATATATTGCACTTGCACCACTTTTCCTAAGATGAAATCAGTGCACCTGACAGAGATAGTAGGGTATTATTATTAACCCTATGTTACAGATGGGAAAACTGAGAAAAAGAGAAGTTGAAACTTCCCCAAGGGTTCACAGTGAGTCAGAGACAGAAGTAGAATTAGAATCTACAGCACATTTCTTGACTCCCAGTTCTGTGCACTAAATAGTAGACCATACTGCTTCTCTTCATTCTTCTTGTTTACCTGCCACCCTCTGATTTCAGGGCATATTTTGTTCCTTCCAAGAGTTAATGACATTACAGTTAACTAAAGCAGTTCAGGAAGGGCAGTATTTTATGGGTTAGATTGCATCAGGTGATGCAGTGCAAATACAAAAGCCTACACTTGGGTCTTGATGGGTAAGTAAAGAAGAAATTAAGTGTCAAATGTTTTAGCTTACCATGTATTATCACTGCTCTACAGCCAAAATGCTTCTGAAATAAATGTAGTCAAACTTTACTAATTCTGGGTCACTGAGAACGAAAATGATGCTTAAAATTGTTGACTGGCTCTAATTTTCAAGATATGCTATTGGGTCAGTATATACGACCCTTGACTTGGGAATGGCGGAGGATAAGTGAGTTATAAAGGGAAGGGATCTCAATTTAAACCAGAAATGACTAAAATACATCTTTGACTGGATCTATGAATAAATCTATGACTGGGTTTGGAAAGTACTTGCTTTTTAGGCAAAACAATGAATGATGCAATCAGAAGCTGGTATTGCATCATACATGATATGAATTGCATCATGTTATTCCTAGAAGTCATGGATGATGCAATCATAACGAAGCTTACATCACTCTGCTGAACAAATTGCCCTATATCAGCTCTAGAAATCATACAGTGTCGTGCTCTCTTATTTGTCAGTGTTTGATTTTGCAAAGGGACACATTTCTGTTTAGCCAAAGTGAGCAGAGATGCCTCGTACTTGTGTCAACAGTGCAGATAACTTCTGCTATGTTTGTGGTGAAGTAACTTTTGCAGCACAAAAGCCCAGTATAACCACTATGGTTAAGAAAGCCTATCACCTTTAGAACGGTTGCTCATGTGTCTCAAGAGCAAGACTTAAGCATATCTAAGGTCGAGGTAAACCAGTGC